TCACATTCACACACTGATGATGGCAAACTACACTGTAGCCACAGCTGCCCTGGGGCACACTGACAGAAGCGAGGCTGCCATGCACCGGCGCCACTCTAGGCTGATATCTAGGGCCTTGAGGTCTTCGTGGAARGGAAGGTACAGCACCAATTACATTTGGAATGCCCTTGTTTCTATTTCCCCTGTGGTGGTATCCACTGGACRGTGATTTTCGGTAGGYGTGTTGCTTTCTGATGGAGGACATGTCCAGCGAATCTTAATTGGTGCTCTGTCGCAATGTCGTTCAGTGCACAAGTGGCTGTTCTGCGATGGATCTCCTCGTCAGTGATGTGACCCCGGTATGAGACTCRCAGGATCYGTCAYAACCACCGCTGGACAACGTTCAGTGTTCTTTCAGTCTTTGAAGAYGYCTTCCAAATTTCATATGCGTATATGGCTGTTGGGATGACGAGTGAGTTAAAAAGGTGGATCTTTGCTGCCATACTGACAAGTGTGGCATCTAAATTGGTCRGAGCTGCTGAAAAACAGCTCCCGCCTTCCCACATCGTGCTCTGCATCACCATCGTTAGTTATAATGCTGCCCAGATACGTRAACCTTTGCACTCCTTCAATCTGGTGTGGTACGATAGTGGCAGGGGTACCAGCTGTGGCGCATCCAATTTGCATGATCTTGGTCTTGTTGACGTTAATCCGGAGTCCGACCTTATTTGATCCTTGTTCAWGGCTCTGAGTCATGTCAATGATGCTCTTAATCGTTACCCCCATCTCTGCTTATAGAAAAATAATTTGGCTCCATCARTGCAGGAATGATATATTTTTTTATTTGCATACGGACATGTAACTTTTCTTTTAATTATGGTTCTGAACGAGCCTGGCCYTTGCCTTCCTACGCAGCTCCGCTCAATTCCAGTTTCCCTTCACTGCTCCGTCTGGGACTTCTCCCATTGAGAAGGGCCAATCAGAGAAGAGAACGTCAATTTTGGTGTAATCCTGGATTAATTAATCCTTGATTCAGTTGCACAAATGATGAGGCACATATTTTCATGGTAACAAGTGCTCTGAAACTAAACTGGTCCCAACCAGGTTTAAAATTGGAGCTTATTTATTCTGCTAATGTTTC